CGAATGTCATTATCGATCGTTTTGGGCGGAGGGGTGGGCTCTGCGGCTAAGGGTCTGCGCCTGGGGCTGGGAGGGTTTGCCGGTTCAAACCCTGCGGCCGGCAGAGGAATCCTACTCCGTTGGGCCCCTGAGCGAGGCCCTGAACCCCCAACTGCTCCAGAGGTGCTGTATAAATGGCCGACTCTGCACTCTGACCCCCAGCTTCTCTCCCTGCCTGAGTGTCTCCTGGAGAGCAGGCTGGGGTCTGAGAGAAGACACATTCCTCATGCCAGAAACTGTATAGGTCCCGTAAAGTGATGTGATGTTACGCGAGGGGGGGCAGGAGGTCAGGGTTCGGCAGGAGCTCACCGCTGGGACATGACGGCCAGCGTGCTGGGCAGGAAGCACTGGGCGTTGGCCAGCTGCTGGGGGGGGCGGCCTTCGCTGCAGGTGGCGTGATCGGCGCGGCCGTAGTTGGCGCTGTCCATCCGAATGAAGCCGCGCTCTGTCGGGGACGAGATCGACAATGTCACCCCGAAACTCCCAGCTGGCCCTGGACACACCCTGCGGTCTGTGTGGGTCCTGATGCCCCAGTATAGTGATGGGGACACTGGGCTGTAAACAGGTACCGTCCTGCGGATGAGACGTCAAACCGAGGTCCTGACTCTCTGTGGTCACTAACAATCCCGGGGTGTCTCTCGCGAAGAGTAGGGGTGTTACCCCAGTGTCCTGGCCAAATTTCCCATTGGCCCTTACCAATCATGGCCTCCTAATACCCCCCTCTCTGAACTGGCTTCATCCCTCTGCTCTCCTCCCCACTGAGAGCTGGTGTGTGGGGAGAGGACTGGGGCATCATCCAGATGGGGCTGCACACTGGTGGCGGTAGTGGGATCCCCAGGAGCTGTAAAGAGCTGCACACTGGTGGCGGTAGTGGGATCCCCATGACCAGTAAAGAGCTGCACACTGGTGGCGGTAGTGGGATCCCCAGGACCTGTAAAGAGCTGCACACTGGTGGCGGTAGTGGGATCCCCGTGACCTGTCAAGAGCTGCACACTGGTGGCGGTAGTGG